AGCCGCCGCAGCCGCCGCGCCGCGTCCTCCTCCCCTCCGCGCTCTCTTCCTCTCCTTCCCCTGGAGCCGAGGTTGGCAAACCAGCACCTGCTGCTGGAGAGTGCGGAGAACTGAAACAGGAAACCCCAAGCCAGGGGGAAAACCCGGGAGGCGTAGAGGGGGGTGAGGGGAGCGGCTGGAACCGGTCGGGCTCTACCCGAGCCTCCTCCCCTCCCGCCCATCCCCTTCCCCGGCCCGACCCAGGGGTCCCGCATCTCTCCTCGCTGGTCCCCAGCCTTGCCCCGGACGGCGCCCCTCGGCCTGGGCCCTCCATCTCCATCCAGCACCCGGTGGGGTCGTGCCCGGCGCAGCCCAGGAAATCGAGGGTGGCTTTCTCTGGGCATGTTCCCGAGTTTCTTGCCTTATTGTTAATACTCTGAAATGAGGAAAAATAAAACCATCACACCCCTGCATAAAGAAAAGCAATAAGGGAACTTAAACAAATGAAGCTGTAGGGATTTCACTCTGGGGAAGGACACCTTTAAGCTAGGAAACCGGCCTTGCTGGAAATGGCAATCGTGTTGGAATTGACGTTGAACTCAAGATAAACCCAAATCTCTTTCAGGAGGTTGGTAGCAAACAGCCCTGTGCACGGAGGTGGACAACTATGAATAACTCTGAGCGTAAAGCATTCTTATTTCTGAGAACTGAACAACACCTAGTGCAATCTAGGTCAATTTCTCAGAAATGCTCCTACCTTCTTACTCACCTGCCTGTGGAATTGTTACCAGAAGCCTCACTTCTAGACCTGGAAGTAGTTATCTAACTTTGGAACAAGAGGGAAAGGCTCTAATGGATGGTGCCTTCACTGTGCCACCACCAGTAGTTTGCTTTATCTCAGGAAATTGCCACTACAGCCAGGCGAGCCAGGTATTGGAATCCAGTTTATACATCAATTGAAAAAAGTTATAACATTTATTTAACACAGCTTGAATGGGAAGAAAGATCCCCCCCCCCATCTGTTGTATCCAAAGCACATGCTTCTTTTGCTGGACTAGAAATCATGCCTTTGGTCACAGCTTTCACTTTAACAGAATTGCCTTGCCTTTCAGAATTGCTTTCAGTTTAAATGAGCCTGGCCCTTGAGCTACTTAATGTTATTATAGTAATATTCATTATGTTTATTTAAGCACAAACTGGATAGTTTCCAGTTTAATGGTTCAGTTGAGTTGTGTAGATACTCCCCTCCCTCCTTGCATCTACTGATCTGTAGGTATTGATGAGGTCCTACTTGAGAGCATCCTTCATATGATGCCCATGGACACTCAACCTATGAGAGGGAAGCAAAGTGTCTTAGCCCATTTTCCACTTTCAGCATGTCAGTCTTGCAGACAGTTTAACAGAATTGCAGACAGGAGGTTGGCTTCTGTGCTCCACAATTTTAGTATCACATTGGAGACCCTAGGAAGACAGTCTCTCTGCAGCAGGTCAGATTTTACTGGAAGGAAAGTTAGATGCTCTGGGAAGCAGCCTCCATATACTGGGCCAAACTTTCAGAAGTCTCTGAAACAGGATTAAGAGGGTGGTTTGACTGGCAGACAACAAGTCACCGCCGCCATCGAATGACTAAAGTGCCTTCATTCTGAAATGCCCTGTCCACACAGCCTCTTTTTGCCCTGTGCCCTGCAATTGTTGTAGTCAACATAGTTGAGCATCATAGGATCAGGGCTCTTGGCTGAGGCCTTTGGAGATGAGATGAATAGTAGTTGTAACAGCATTTGTCAGATGATTACAAACTTCAACACACTAGTTTTTGCTTGTGCTATCTTACCTAATGACCACAAAATCCATATAAGGGAATACCTGCCACAACTTCCCTTTTGCAGATGAGAAACTGAGACCAGGATTATAGTGAGTAAATAACCAAGAATGCAAAGACTATAATTTAGGTAGTCTGACTCCAGAGTTAAGACCAGTTCTATGAATATGATGCAACAGCTGACCTTAATCACATTACTTTTTAATGGGGAAGATAAGAACACGTGGGGTTGGGGTGAAAAGAAAACTGAGAAGACAAAAGCAGAAGTCTCAAATCCAAGTGATGAATGATAAATGCTGCAAAGTACACAACACTGAGTGGGTCACTTCAGGTTGCAGAAGTTGGGAAGGCTTGCACACAGGGTAAAGCTGGGCTTTGAAAAGGGGAATCTGAGGTGAATTGTGATGGAGGAATAGTATTTTGATAAGTGGGAGATAAGATTGTATCCTTTTACAGACAACATAAAGAGAGGGAAGTCTAGGGAACAGGTATTTTTCAATAAAGTTAGAAAGGAAAAGAAGGGTAAGATTATTTCTAGAGATTTATAAAAACAAGAAGGAGGAGTGGAGGAGAGAGATTGATTGATTGATTGATTGATTGATTGATTGATTTGGCTCCATATATCAAGTTGCCCAGGATGGCCTTGAACTTGCTAGGTAGCTGAGGCTGACTTTGAAGGCCTGATACACCTGCCTCAGCTTTTGTAGTTTTGAGATTACAGACACTTTTAACACTGCTTATAGGACTTTTAGACACATTCTAGGTCGTGTGGTAAGTGTGCACTCTCAGTCCTGATTATTTCAGTTAATTGGCCTATATACCAGCGGAGAATCTGTGACAGATTTCAGAAGATCATGTGGAAAATGACTTATTTTAGGAAGACAAGACTATGATGTCTATTGGATGGTTTGGAAAGGGGTGGGAAGTTAGTTTTAAGGCTCACATGGCAGCCCTGATGAATAATAATGTAGATGGCGAGGTAAGGGATGAAAGGAAGAGACAGCTTACTGAGAAAATGTAACTTAAAAACAGTCAGAGGCTTTATGAATGAATCGATAGACTCAATAGAGAGATGGAGTTAACAAAGGAAGCACAGGCCTGAAGAGATGGCTCAGCAGTTAAAAGCATTGGTTGCTTTGGCAGAGGATATAGGTTCAGTTCTCAGTACCCACATGATGGCCAACAGCAATCCATAACTCCAGTTTCAGGGGTCTAATATGGCCCCTATGTGTTTTCATGCATGTGGTTCACTTACATACATGCAGGCAAAACATTCATATACATAACAGTGAAAAGAAAGAAATTCCCTCCCCCCCCATTTTTTTTTTTAAAAGGGAGCAGTCACATTGGTTGAATGTGAAACCTGAAGCATTAGTGGCCAGAAGAAAAGGAGACCTGTAGGAGGGAAGAGCTACTTTTTCAAATTCAGAATTGTTTAGTTTGACGTATGCATTTGATGTAATATCAGGATATGCATGTGGAAATGTTTTAGTGTCATCTGAAAACGGCAGATAAGAAGCTAAGGCAAGTACCGCCAATGAGAGAATAAGTATGAATATTTGACATGGGTCTCCCCTACAATAGTCATTGTGTACGCTGTTCATTTTTGTACACCCGTGTTGAAAGGAAATATCTAAATAAAACCAAGTTGTGTCTGTGACTGAGTTAAATAGACTTTAGACAATTTCACTTATCTTTTTCTTTACCCCCAGTTATATTTCCTTGTAAGGAAAAGAAACTATATACAGAAGTATTTTCATGAGTTCAGAGAATGTTAGAAGGATGAAAAGAAACATTTAATCTGAACCCACTTGTCATTTTGCTGACAGTGAGACTGGAAATCAAATTCCGATGTTTTGATAGTAACACTTCAGCAGGCATCAGGTAAACATGGCACTCTTGCTAACAGTTCTGGATATCAAAACTGTATTCTAGTTACACATTTAAGTCTGGACCTTGAAGTGCAACTTGGAATTGAACATGATTAAAGAACTCAAATGTCCATGACTGTGTAGCAGACAAAATCTTGGAGCAGCCTCCCTGTTAACAATGATGCTTTTGGAAGGAACTGGTTGGGGAGGTGGTTGTGATGGCAATACTTCTCAAACATGCTCCGGGTCAACTACCACACAGCTAGGTTCATGTTTGAATTGCAAAAGTGGAATTTTAGATGCCAGGCCCATTTCATAGTGGCTTGCCTTAGTCAGGAACTTCCACTTACCCCTCTCCCTTATCTAAGACCCCCAGGGTCTTAGATAAAAAAGTTATCCTCTGATTCAGAACCATCATCACACACTCCTGGCAAAGGTGTCCACTTCTACCCAAAGGTTTCCTAATGGTGTCCTTGGCATTTTTCTTATGGGATATTTGTGGACCAGTAGCTACACATAGGCTTACAAGAGTTACTGCTGCTCTGGAATCTCGTGCCTCCTGCCACCACCTTCTAGCAAACGCTTACCTTAGTTGAAACAATATCAGCAGTCCCTTTTGAGGTACCTTCACCCTCAGTGCTTTAGCCGGCAATGACAACTTGCTCCAGTTGAAGAACCTCAGTCACAGCTTCTTCTGTGTCTTTTAGAAAAGTCCCATAGTTCCAACAACCTGTAAAATGTCTAGCTTCTTTCATCATCCTTAGTCCACAAAAACTACTCACTGAGTACATGCTCTGTATGAGGCGGATACACAGAGCTACAGCACACTCGTGCCCCTGAGGCTCAGTGCCACACGACAGTTGCTTATTAACGCTGCATTCTTAGGGAAGGAAACTAGAGGACATGAGATATGTGCTGTTGACCAATCTCAGGACTTCTTTCTTCTGATGGGTAACCACAAGATTCCATACCAGCAGCGTGACTCTTTACTTCCTCCAGCCTTGTGGGAGGCCCTCAGATAAAGCCACCAGAGTCACGCTTCAAAAGGGCTAAGTTTTCAGTACCAGTGTCCTAGTCATGTGTTGACTTTCTACCTGAACCAGAGAGGATGGCCATAGTACTTTCATCACCTTGGGCAAATCCAGGGATTTGGAGAACAATGAGCACAACATTGCCACCATCCTGAGGAGGAACCCTTGCCATTCCATGTCAGTTCACTTGGCCAGAAGTTTACAGGATGGGATTTTAAGTAAGCTAAAACATCCTCTTCACCTCCTATAATCACCCACTGTTTGAAAAGGAAACTGGTACTTCGAACCGTAAATATACAAAGTTGAGATAGTGGAAAACTGAGTAGAGAGCAGAGTTATCAGTTTAGAGTTAAAAGGTCATATTGTAAGAATATTAATTGTGCCATTATTTGCAAAGATAAAAAAATAGAATCAGGGGTTGGAGAGGTGGCTCAGTAGTTAAGAGCATCAGCTGCTCTTACAGAGGATCTGGGTTCAGTTCCCAGCACTCACATGATGGATCACAACCATCTCCAGTTCCAGGGGATCCAATGCTCTCTTCTGGCCTCTGTGGTATTGCATGACATGAATGCACTTGCATGCATGCAAACAGAACACCCCTACACATACAAAAATAAATACAAAAGACAAGAATTGCGTATTTTCTCTCATATGAAGAATCAAGATTTTAAAGTAAAGGCATTCCAATCGAATAGGGACAGGCACGAGGGTGACAAGAGATCACCGGACTAGGGTCAAACTACATCATATGCATGTATGAGTACATCATAATGAAGCCCAGTATTCTGAACAATTAGACTACATAATAAAAAAAAGAAATTCCAAAAAAAGACCTAAGAAAAACAATAACTTATTTTTACACTTTTTTTCTTATACAGAATCTACTCATGTCCCTTGCCTAATTATATTATTAATAAATGGATCTCTCATATGCAAAAAAAGAAATTCCTCCCAGTGACAAGGAAGAGGAAGTGAAGGGAGTCCTGTGAGTTGCGCATGTGGAGAACGGGGCTTCCCAAGCAAGGGAAAGATACCCATGATTGTATGGAAGGGGAGATCCCATAATTGCTCAAGGATTCCCAGCCAGAATTAATGGGATTAGTCACTGTTCTTACAAGTTAGTTGTCAAAGCTGAAAACTTAGACTTTTGAGGGGAACTGTTCTAGTCAAGGGGAACATTTGGGGAATGTTCTCATGGACACAGGAAGGAAGTGATTATACAAGGACTGAAGGCATCATGGCAGGTCAGCATAGGCTGGAGCTGATCTCAACATGTGGGTTTTCTCATAATGCTCATAACTTGAGTCCTATTTGCTTATCTGTTTTGTTTGTCTTTCTAGATCAGAATTTTAGTTCTATGGAGGCCAGGGCTCTGTTTGTCTTCTTAAAATGTCCTCAGGGCTTCTGTACCTGGTTGGGTAGATAACTCGGGTTGGCTCTAGATAATTGGAACACCTCTTGACTCTCCAAGAGTGTTCATTTCACATTGATCTGTTAGGAAGGAGTAAAAACATGTCTATAGGAACTAGGACTCAGATCTCAAGCCCCTGAAAGAGTAGCCAGGGTAGAATTTAAATCCTAAAGGAATCAGAGAATCAGAAAAATACTCAAACATGGGGAATAGGGAAGGAGTTAATTACTAAGGGTCAGTAAGGACATAGTTAATAAAAAGAAGAAATGAACAAGGAAGTCAACCAGACAGCACACAATGAAAACAAAACAGTCTCACAAATAAGCAACAAAGGGCACAACAATAAAATAAAAGACAGAGCCCTGTAATAAGAGCTGCAGTGACAGGAAGTGCAGGATTATCAGCACAGCAGACCTGCTGCTGAGTCACTGTGGGGCCAGAGACTTGGGTGGTTGAGGGTGGTTGGGTCTAGATCAGGTTCAGAGGTAGAGTGGAGGAAAAGGGGAAGGTGAATAAGCCTAGTGCTAGTGCCAGGCAGATATCGGGGAAACAACTACTCTAGGTAGCTCCAGGTTCCCTCTTCTAATCTTTGAGTAGGAGTCAGCGGAAATTTTACACTGTCCATTACTTTTGTCTAAACACTGAAATTCTAGGAACTGCTTTACGCAGGAAAAGTGTCTAAAAACTTGCAATCCTGTCATCCTAGCACTCAGGAAACTGAGGCAAGAGGATTTTGGAGTTCAATGCCAGCCTGGGCTATATAGTGTGGACTGTCTGGAAAAAAGTATCTAGGAGTCAGAAATGAGAACTCCAGGCAGGAGGTGCTCAGCACATCTTTATGAGTTCCATAAGCAAATGCCAGACCCCAGGTTGGAAATGCTTAAAGCCAAAGGGATGAATATGTTAGAGGCATCTGATACGTTTTTATTTTCATGGTTTTAGTCACAGATTAGGGATTAGGTGCCTATGAGTCTAGAAGAGCTTTGTGTTCTGTTTTCTGTATTAAGTATAGCGCATACAGTGTTAAAGGTACAGGTAGAGCCTTCTACCTATTTCTGGGTCTCATGGGCCTTCACTTTTCTCCTAGTATTTGACATTTTGGTTGTTAACCTTAGCCTTTAACAGCTGCACCATCCCTCCAGCCTTCTAGTATTTGAAACAATCTTGGTGGTCAGCATGCAACTTCCTCTGTCTTTTATGAGTTTTATACACAGAATCCTGAAGGTTTATTGGGAAAGGCTAGTTCTACTGAATTATTCTCTCTCTCTCTCTCTCTCTCTCTCTCTCTCTCTGTATATGGGCACATGTGTATGGAGCCCAAAGATCAATGTTAAGGGTCTCCCTCAATTGCTTCTCTTACTCTTTAAATTTGTTTTGTTTTGAGATGGGGTCTCCTTGTAGCCCCAGCTGGTCTGGAACTCGCTATGTAAACCATGCTGGCCTCCATCTCACAGAGATCTGCCTCTGCCTCCAGAGTGCTGGGATTAAAGGCACGCACCACCACTCCTGTCTTTTTATCTTACTTTCAGGAGACCAGTCTACTTCACTGAACCTGGAGCTCACTGATTCAGCTGGACTGACTGCTCAGTGAGACCCAAGGATCCTCTTATCTCTGCCTTCTCAGAACTGGAATTACATGCTGCTGTGCCCAACTTTTTACCTGGGTATTAGGGATCTGAACTCAGGACCTTATGCTTGTAGGCAGGCACATTACCTACTGAGACACCGTCCATCCCTACAAGATCTGTTTTTTAAACTGAGCCTTATCTGTATTGGGAAATGTCTGTTTTCTAATGGAGATCTCCATAGAGAGTTTGAGGAACCTGTCATCTTAGTTTGGATAAGTACAACTTGACAAGGATGTTTACAAGAAAACACTGATCTGCTGAAATGTGTTAATACCTGTCTCAGTGGTGTGCTTTGCTAACCATATGTTTGGATGAGTATGTATATTTGAAGGGGTCTTTACAATCATTTCTATATTCTTAGTGGTTAGCTCTTTACATACAAAAGCAAGAGCTGGCATTTTCTGAGATCTTTCTATAGTGAAACTGAGTGTACTTTAGCTGTATGGATTTGGAAAAGTTAGCAGAGGAGGCTCTCATTGGCTTAAAAAATCTGGAACCATTTAGTATTCCAATGTGCTTTAAAATTCTAACAGGGATACATACTCCTTGTAGAAAGTTTTGAAGTATATAAAGTTTCAGAAACACAGATCATGTCTAAACCCATCACCCAGACAACTAATCAATCACTCTGCCAATTTTTCACCCTCATATTTATATCACATATCCCACTGCTGTCTTTAATTCAGTCAAGTCTTGAGCATCAGTACTGGACATAGGATCATAAAATAAAAAACAGTCCATATCTTAAACTCTATTTTTGAAATAGGCACAATTGAAAAAAAATCTAGATTTCCAAACACTTGATTATAAAATCAAGTGCCAAAGTTGTCTGAATCAATGCCCCATTCAGTTATCTGGAATCTCAGGACTCAGGTTTCAAAATAATCTGTACATTTGGGGGATCCATTCAGTCAATAAATGTGTATTGAGTCCCTATTACATCCCAAGCACTGTTTATATGGCAGCACTTCCTGAGGCCTACTTGGAAACCTTCTAAGCTGAAGGGAGGTGCTTCAGTGCATTCTGACACCACCCCTCTTCATTCTCTGCTTGTTTTCTACAGCCCCCCTGGGCCTCTATGTTACTGCTATTCCTCTCTCTGGAATACTCTTTCTCAAATGTCTGCAATATGTTTGCCTTAATATTCTATCTCTGTTCAAATATCACCTTATTAGAGAAGTTATTCCCTAGCACCCTATTTAGAATATCACATAGCCTCCCTTTAAGTGCATTGTCATCACTCTCCGTCCCCTGACAGCACAAGATGAAAACTACAGGAATGTGATATGATCAGGATTTCAGAGCTGTGGAACAGGAAGATCAGAATATAATGGTAGATTCTGTCTTGATAATGAAGAAATAATTTTGTAGAAACTGAGAGATGGTTTGAATAGAAATGTGTTTATCTGTAGGTAAAAATGAAGGAAAGTTTATTTGACTAGAGTAGTAAGAAAACAGACATGATATTATTATTAGGATATAGCACAGAAAACCCAGACAGATGTAGATAGACAGGAAAAACTTGAGCAAGGTCCTCCATGGGTGTGAGAGTGAGACAAAGGAATGAGATAAGCTTTAAAAGTGAGACACCAGACAGACCAATCAGGTGTCAAGTGCTCATACACACTAAGAAGTAGGCTGTCTGCTGAAGTCTCAATTTGTATTGTGAATTTGCCTTTTCTTTGGCTTCTGTGACATCACTTCTTTACCAGTCCCCACCAATTAGACTAGACTGGTTAGCCAAAAGCCCCAGAGATCCTCCTGACTTTACCTCCCCCAGAC